GCCATGCTCCCCGTGTTTAGTGCTAATTTAGTTGTTCGAGGAGGCACTGTTAAGCTCCTTAAACCAATCAACAACAAAGTAATGAATTTCTCGGACGGAGGAATAGTGTTCCTTCGGGGGGTGGTGCTGTATATTCCCCAGGAGTATGGCGTGTAATCTGAAGGATCTCTTGAGGATATTGTTTTGTAACAGTTTACTGTAGTGCGTGATTTCCACTGCTTTAGTGCCAGCGTATCATGTGTAAACTGAGGGAGCAATAGTCAAAAAAGCTGATGAGGTAAACATTTTCAGGATCGATAGATTACGCAAAATTCCGTACATTCCTCTATGAATGTAATGAACTTGGTGCGTAACTAGTCTTCAATCTGTGCTGTTTATGATGTTAGCTTTGATTTTTCTTTGATTTTTGTGTTTTGTTATGTTTTCACAACTTTGTAAACTGCCAAACTCAGCCCTGGTCTATCTATTTGGTTGTTAATGGCGGATGTGTTTTTGTGGTCGCTTCCGGAAGTAACCTCTTTGAAAGCATCTGTTTTTCGACATCTCTCTATTGATTAAGGTTCATATGGCTGAAAGTCATGTTTGGAGACCTTAGCCGTGTTGGGAACAAGCTCGTTACACTTCGATCAGTGCCTTAATGTGGTACAACTCAAAACACAAACTATACGTCCTGGTCTTTGTTGGGAGTTGCAAGTGTTCCCTCAACTGTTACCAATTCCAAACGTAATCTCGAGAGACCGGGGTGAAATGGGCTTCCTGGGTGGGGGAGTGTGATCAGTGGATCACTGTACTTCTTCCTGAGATAGAAGCCCTGTCTCCATCACATTCTTCTGTCCAGATAGTGGATTGTACTAGTCGGTATGGCAGCACAATGGAGGACGTTCCGCAATCATTCGGATTTATCTTGTTTAGCAGATGTGATACACTGTTGATGAAAAAACTGAAATTCACGGTGAATGCTTGACGAGCTCCACCTCCACCTGCCAGTAGGTATACAATGGCAGTCGTGGTGAATCATTCTACAATTTATTCGTGAACCATTTACTCCCATACAGTCCATCAATTTTCGTTCGTACCGAAGCTGACAGTGATCAACCATACGGATTGTGAAAGATGTTATGCTTCCGCACCTTCCATAATCAGCATGGGGCGATTGACAAATGTGACTTGTAGGCTCATTAAGACAAAATTGCCTATTTATTACGACTATTGACAGTCCTGGTGGCAATCTTAATTTTCCTCTGCCGTTAGGCTCCACTGTTATGGTTCGACGAAAGTTCTTCGTTCAAGCGCTTCTTTGTCCTGTTCGACCTGCTATGTATAGGCTGTAGAGTAATCGGGCGACAAACCACGTACCTTATAGTATTCCGGGTACAGGTGAAGATCGAAGGAATGTTTACTCTTTATCAGAATGCCAACCTCAACCACTTCCACAATTCCGGTGAGAGTACCACTCCCTGTCATTCATATTGTTACCAAGCCCATGAGAGACAGATACTGCAAACTGTTTTTTTCAGGTTNCGGTAACTTTGCATCAAATGGAACGACCTTTGGCGTGATCAGCGGGGACTTGATATAGACATCATACAAGCTTCATAAGGCCTCGAACTACCCTTTGTATCACGGAACCTCAAAGTCTGGCTGGTTTTTCAATACCCCAGTCACTCAGGTAGTCTCATGCCTGCCTCAGTCGCATCGTGGACATCTTGTCCGTCCATAAGGCACACATCGTGTCGTGCGTAACGCGTTAGTATCCTAGTGCGTAACTTGTTCCTATTTCATGATTCCATATACAGTAGCCGTTTGGTCCATTGCGGAACAAATTTCGCACCAGGCAATCATGTTGAATCGGTAATGGATCAGGCGGCTTTTGACCCGTTTGCCGAGCTTGGAAATTGATTTGCCAATGTTTGTTCACCATTCGAGAAGACATGCATAATTATGTCCTTCTAAGGCGGTCACTTATCAGTTGTTTCAGACGGTCTTAAACCAAGAAAGTTGTTTCTTTCATAAAACCCACCTGTAGTGACTGTGAATACTTGGTCGATTTTTGGATGAACTGACAAGATGTCAGTCACGCGTGGTCTCCCTCTGAAAGCCGGTCTTTGTAAAGGCATGCGGGGACTTGTAGTAGTTGCTTGCCATATGGGTGAACAGTCCACTGAGATCCCTGTATTCACTCACTAATTATATCGTTACACCGCTATCCATCCCTACTTCCCCTAATCGTCGGTGAACTGTTGCAGCCGTAACCACTGTGCAACATCTATGCGGTTTTCACAGCTTAAGATGATGGTGATGATATGGGTGAAAATTAAGGTAGGTGACCCGGATTCACTTGATGGGAACAGTGTTATATTCATGCCGTTGTTCAGATATCTATTTGACGTGCCCGGATTGCGTATCCCGGTCTCTGGGGAAAGTATTTTCCTCAACGGCGGTGTTTGTCACAGGTTCGAAAGAAACTTCATTATCAAACCTTATCTCATGGGACCGGAATAAAGTGCTCCTAACTGGGTATATTACTGCGTTTACTGCGTGGCTGTTTGCGACAAACTGACGACCGGCTTTGTCCATCAAAATGCCGACTTGAGTTGTCACGGAGTTTCATGCAAGACACCTTTCACATGCAATTTCACTGTCCTAGACCTAAAGATCAAAATTCCTAAGTGTCTCTCAACAAAGTGGAATGTTCCGAGTCCGTTTATTGCTAACGTTCAAGTGCTGTTATCGAAGCACATTCCTTTTCCAGTGAGCGTTTTATTGTATACAGCCATGCTCCCCGTGTTTAGTGCTAATTTAGTTGTTCGAGGAGGCACTGTTAAGCTCCTTAAACCAATCAACAACAAAGTAATGAATTTCTCGGACGGAGGAATAGTGTTCCTNCTCCTTATAGCTCCTTAAACCAATCAACAACAACCTTCCCAACTCATGTTTTATTGGCAACATCTTATCCGCTGTGTCGGATCAGGAACGTTCTTCACACTTTTTTTGGTGTGAGGTGATTAGTTTATTCATATACGTCTACTGATGTTTGGTCAGAACCACAACAGGATACTGCGTCCCTCTAAAAAACAACCTTCCTATTCATATCTCACATTGATAATTTCTTGAATAGTAAACTCGCCTCTGGCTCATATTTCTGGTGGATTTATTGTGTTCGTTGACATTTGAAAGTGTTTAGAATCCATGAGGGTATCGTTTACGTGAAATTCTGTCACTGGGAAGTGAAGTTGCGTCCTCGGTGATGTGTGGAGCATTCGAAGTTTGACACTGCACTTGATAACCAGTATCAAGCAGTGTATGTAATTTTAGAGCAAAGTAATGAATTTCTCGGACGGAGGAATAGTGTTCCTTCGGGGGGTGGTGCTGTATATTCCCCAGGAGTATGGCGTTTAATCTGAAGGATCTCTTGAGGATATTGTTTTGTAACAGTTTACTGTAGTGCGTGATTTCCACTGCTTTAGTGCCAGCGTATCATGTGTAAACTGAGGGAGCAATAGTCAAAAAAGCTGATGAGGTAAACATTTTCAGGATCGATAGATTACGCAAAATTCCGTACATTCCTCTATGAATGTAATGAACTTGGTGCGTAACTAGTCTTCAATCTGTGCTGTTTATGATGTTAGATTTGATTTTTCTTTGATTTTTGTGTTTTGTTGTGTTTTCACAACTTTGCGAACTGCCAAACTCAGCCGTGGTCTATCTGTTTGGTTGTTAATGGCGGATGTGTTTTTTGGTCGCTTTTTGAAGTAACCTCTTTGAAAGCATCTGTTTTTCGACATCTCTCTATTGATTAAGGTTCATATGGCTGAAAGTCATGTTTGGAAACCTTAGCCGTGTTGGGAACAAGCTCGTTACACTTCGATCAGTGCCTTAATGTGGTACAACTCAAAACACAAACTATACGTCCTGGTCTTTGTTGGGAGTTGCAAGTGTTCCCTCAACTGTTACCAATTCCAAACGTAATCTCGAGAGACCGGGGTGAAATGGGCTTCCTGGGTGGGGGAGTGTGATCAGTGGATCACTGTACTTCTTCCTGAGATAGAAGCCCTGTCTCCATCACATTCTTCTGTCCAGATAGTGGATTGTACTAGTCGGTATGGCAGCACAATGGAGGACGTTCCGCAATCATTCGGACTTATCTTGTTTAGCAGATGTGATACACTGTTGATGAAAAAACTGAAATTCACGGTGAATGCTTCACGAGCTCCACCTCCACCTGCCAGTAGGTATACAATGGCAGTCGTGGTGAATCATTCTACAATTTATTCGTGAACCATTTACTCCCATACAGTCCATCAATTTTCGTTCGTACCGAAGCTGACAATGATCAACCATACGGATTATGAAAGATGTTATGCTTCCGCACCTTCCATAATCAGCATGGGGCGATTGACAAATGTGACTTGTAGGCTCATTAAGACAAAATTGCCTATTTATTACGACTATTGACAGTCCTGGTGGCAATCTTAATTTTCCTCTGCCGTTAGGCTCCACTGTTATGGTTCGACGAAAGTTCTTCGTTCAAGCGCTTCTTTGTCCTGTTCGACCTGCTATGTATAAGCTGTAGAGTAATCGGGCGACTAACCACGTACTTTATAGTATTCCGGGTAGAGGTGAAGATCGAAGGAATGTTTACTCTTTATCAGAATGCCAACCTCAACCACTTCCACAATTCCGGTGAGAGTACCACTCCGTGTCATTCATATTGTTACCAAGCCCATGAGAGACAGATACTGCAAACTGTTTTTTTTCAGGTTTAGCACAATCGGCATCTAGACCAGTTGTACAGGTTAGCATGGTAACCTCATGGACCAATTTGGCATTCGACCAAGCTTACCGATCGGATAAGACAGTGGGTATACATTTGAATGATTAATGTTTGATTCTGTATTGGATGGCCCACCACTGCCTGCCGACGTTAAAGGCTTGCAACGTTAAATCAATTAGGGATATCTGTGCTTCACCTCCCCACATACATGACGAAGGCTGTACCATGGACAGAAGACGAAACTGAACAAGAAAGATTTGTGTTTTCCAATCACTGTCCAAAGTGGCTTCTGTAGTTGGCCTTCATTATTGACAGTTATGTGAAATAACTTTACGACACCATGTCCCTTTGCAGAGAGAAGAGAAGCCAAAATAGGTGGCCTCTTCACATAGATTTAATCTAACGGCACAGCAGAAGGACTACAAGACAATGTCCCTTTTAAGAGACACTTTTGGGTACCGCGCTTTTCTGTGGGTGGGTGACGTCACCCGCTTTCTGCCTGACGTAATAAATCTTCCGTTGTAGGAGTATTTTGTGCTCACCAGAATAACATGGCATAATTGTGTGGTGTTCTTCATCATTTGTCATCTGTTTTAAAACAAATGTTACTTTTGTAGCATTTAGCGAAACTCGAATGATTTTCGATAGCGATGGATTGTAGGGTGATAATGAAGGCAATCCTGACTGTCAATATCGAGCCATCGTGCGTTATATCCTATGCTTCATCTTTATGAATTTCAATCATGTGTCTACGTATTCTTGGTCAATTTATCCGGCAAGGGAAGTTCAGTCGAGGAGAGCCGGTTAATCTATCATAGTACTGTACCAGTCATAACTATTCAACTTAACGGTCGACTAGTAAGCCTGGTTGACTAGCGTAGTAAAATTACATGGTGATTTTTTTCGTGGAAAGCCAATTTCGGAACCAGGCAGCATCTTTTTTCCTGACGAAGCACTTCGCTCATGAGGTTGCTGAGACAGCCCACAAACGGTTTCTCTTTTCCTGCGGCTTGTTTCACCTCAAGAATCTTTTTCGAAGAACGATACCGTGCCACTAAGCTGCCCAAACATAGATGAGACCGAGCTCAATATTTGAAAGTAACTTGAACTGTGTAAGCCTTAGCCGATTGGTCGTGCCTGAAGCTCTTTTCATCCTAGCTTTTCAGCGCACCGTTTTGTGGGTGTAGGAGGTTGCAGACAGACCAACTGTATGTTGTATTTGGATATGGGAAAGCGGAATTTTGTCCTAAACTTACTGAAGACGGAACCAGTTCAATTCCTTGGTGTCGGGACCTATAGTTTGATCTTGTGTTTTTAAATAAATGATATCACATTAGTTAACTAAATTTCCCATGGTTAAGTCAACTGACTTGTCTGCACATTTTAACTTTTTATTCTGAACTTACTCGTTCATTTTAGCTCCAACCGTCACAAGCCCATTTTTTGTAAGGAACCCGCGGAATTTGGTCGATCACCCAATCCCATACCCTATCTAGTTCCCGAATCGTCGCCTAATACGGCCGTGTCTGACACGGCTAGCCGAAATCCTGAGGGACCTCCGTCCTGCACAGAGGATCTACCCCCTCGGTCTTCAGCGTCAACGCCAACACCTGCGTTATCTTCCAGTTCTTCAGATACTCGAACTAGCAGTTCGGTGGATTTAGAGGTCGAGTTATTCGCTTACAAACAGTGCAGCCAGTCACCCGGACTCCGTGACGTTTTAGCCCTGATTGAGGCAGACCCCTGTGCTCCATTCACGCTACCGGCTGATCCTTCCAGTCAGCCGGGCGTCAGAGATTTCGGACCATACCGAGTCTGGGACTTGGGGGGTAAAGATGTTAGCCAGCTGACGTATGGTAGGTTCTAGAACTCATTTCCAACAGTTTCATCTGTGCTCAATTCTTTCATGTTCATGTTGTTGCTTGCATCAACAGCTGCTAGGACCATGGGTCACTAGGTCCCCTATCGACCTAGTGGACTCTACTTTCAATGGGCGTCACACGTCCTTGGTTTCAGTATTGTAAGATTTCACGCCTTGATGAACATCGAACAATAATACACTACTTGTACATCGCAATAATCTATATTGCCTAAACACCTGGCTACTTAGTAACGGTGCACGGAAGATGGGGATTCATTAACTTCTGTACATGAATCCACTTTTGTATGAAAGCAACGAGAACGTGAGCTTTTGTAACGGCAATCCAACTCACGAAAAAGCGAGTGTTCTATTATGTAATCTACTGTCCTGAGTCACGTTCCCGCGCCTTGATTACGACGATCCACCACAATCTGTAGATCACATCAGAGTCCTGTTGCTTTAGGTCTGTTCGAAACCGGTGCCGTTCTTCATCTGGACGAGGTTAGCATCCAACCTATTATGGAACTTGTGCAAGGAGTTTAGTGTTAATAATCACGGTTGTCAGGCGCCAAATTATGTATATGAGGTTCATGTGCATCAGGTTGATGTGGATTAGTCTCCCGAGAGTTCAGCAAGCAAGCGGATTCAATTTCATTCCCAGGCATTCGCTCTTTATTTCAAACTACCTACTCAAGCTTCCCATCTAACGCTTACATGTGCATTGCGTAACGAAGGTTTCCTCACTTGCTGTGTGATATTTTTCACCAGGACTGGCAGATCATGAGTCGTGTTTGTCAGGGTGAAGATGTTCGTGTGTTTCATAAATTTTAATCGCTGGTTTACCGTGCTACTTTCAACCTCTTCAGTGTCCTTCGAATTTAACCCTCATCTATTCCAGTAGAATATTTGGGGTTTATAGAGTTCGTTCACTTGTATCTTAGAGGACCATCTAAAATGTCATGCTGTTCACAGTAGGTGTCTATCGATCGTCCTCGCCCGTTACACTTTAAGCACCTTGAGGTCAGTCGTGCTCAAGAGCTTGTGAATATTCCAACTTTCGGAATCGAATGGAATGCACATGTAATATGCAGTTAGTAGAAGGGATGTCGTGTGTGGGTCACCTGTTTGACCCCAAGTTCATGGTTGAAGTTGGTCTCTCTCTCTCTCTGGTAACGGTCTTCACCCATTTACTGGAAATCCTCTGCTTATCTTTAGAGGGTACATAACCAACGGAGTTGTATGTTGTTGATCAGTGCAGTAGTCCTGTACCTATGGCAGTGATATGAGCCATTGCAGAGTTCGCTAGAACGTGCAAATGCTATACAGCTACCGGGAAACTTAATACCCAACGGAAAAACCCTGAATGTCGGTACAACCACCACTTTCATAATGACTTAGGTGTTTGTCCGCCAGTGCGTTACTGCGTAAACCAAGATGATGGTTTATTTTCTCTAGGCCATATTCTATGTACCCATCTGCCCATGAGTCCCTTGCGACACTCATAACTTGCTATAACTTCCTCGTCTTTTGTTGGAAACGCAGTCGCCAACCTTGGTTACCGCCCACCTGTGTTATAGCCTGCTAGGATAGTCGTGGCAGCTAATTTTATGCACCAACCAAGGACACTACTCTCCAGTCCTTTCTCCTGCAACTTGCTGTCAAACTGCAGACATTTGATCGATGGATTCGCGGTTGGAACGTATTTATTCGTATACAATCCTGTGCTCATGTTTCAACTACTCACTCTCCGGAGTCCACAGCTACATTCTTCATTATCTGCGATCTAGTGCGTAACCTCTCAGGAGGTGGGTTGAACACCACTTTTCTGGTGTTCTTTTGGTTGAAAATAATTATAGTCATCGGAACTCAGTTGGACCCTGACCATCTTTCGATCGCAAGTTACTACCATACAGTCTAATCAGAAATGAGGCATCGCTAAGTCCCGTCAACCCCCCTCCTCACAGAATTCAATACAGGATACACCCAAGTTGACCCGTTACGGCAGTAATTGGAGCAAAAGGCGTAGTCTTGAATTTACTAGCCAACTTTTTGGAGTCTAACCTAATCCGACTTGATCCAGACAAGCTGTTCACTAGAAAGGGGTGTTTGTAAAACTCCCAGTTCATGTCTTTTTTGGGTTACAGGACTACATTTCCATATTGTTGCCATATTTTTCTTCAGATATGTTGATTTGTGTTCTCATTGTTCGGGAGCTGAAAGTGTCATTCAGGTATTTGACCCGATTCACCCGGACTTCCTTAACGGTATTTATTCTAACTTATCTATTTCTCTCAGCGGACCGATCAGCTATTGTTCTGGCTCAGAATTCCCATTGTCTTCGTCAGTGGCATCCCGATCTTGTAGAGAATGTGAACCAAGGAGACATTGGGCTGGTAACGAAAATGTCGGTCAAATCGCTGCCACAGTTACGTTTTGGGGATGTCAGTGCGGGCTTTTCCGAACCCATCGAAACTATTGAGGAAATTTCTATTCCGCCCATTGTGGAGCCATTGTTGATAGCACCCGGTTCACTCCCCACCGAACGGGCGAACTCACCATTGGAATGCCACATCCACGTACATCAACATTTAGCCCAACTAGCGCTTCCGATCATATCTTCCCCGTCATTATTGTACACAGGCGTCGAGCGACATGCGGATTCGACGGAGACAGTGTTACCTTTGACTTCCAGAAACTCCGCTAATGAGCTTCGTCTGGTGGAATCCGTTCGGCCCTTCTATGTATTCAAGATGGCTTGCAAATTAGCAGGTTGGTTGACAGTTCACTGATCAACCGTTTTGAAATGATTAGGTCATTTATCATTCCGTACCGTCTGTCTTAATTTCCACACTTCCTATGCGATATTATCCAATGGTTGCTTTAAGTCGGCTAAGGGATCCTAGGGTTCCGCTTTTCCACTTGAGTGATTGCTTGCATAGTAATTAACAACCGGGCTGCGTGGGCTCTAACCGAAGAAATTCCTTAGTTGTGGATGTTTTCGGACTCACCGTAGCTCGTCAGCAAGATTATCACTAGAACACTTCGGTAAATTGGACAAACGAAACCACACACAGACCCCCGAACAACCCCTCTCAAAAGGATATCGAAACTCTAAAATGCAAGTTAATGGCATCCCGTGAATTTGTAGGTCACTCTATTCATTCCGCTAACGCGTTGGTACAGTACTGTATTCTGATGCCGAACCGTTGGAAGATCAGTATTAACACCTCAAATTAGTCTGTTTTGGCCGAGGCCGAAGCTATCATGAAGTGGCATTCGGATTTCTTTCTTTGGCCGGCCGGCAGCTGAACCTAAATACACTACATGAGCTCCTGTATGCACGAGTGTTTACAGGCGCGAACTTGCATACGAAGCTTCATACCTTTGTAGGCACATCTGCCCGCCACTCGACGCAATACGAAGAGACTGGTCCGTCACGAAGAGACTGGACCTTACCGTGGTGTGACGGTTTGCGCACCTCAGCGATCCATTGAGCTATACTGGAGAGTGTCCCGCGACACTCACAGAGTCTCTCATACCAGGTTGGTCAATGGTTAGAGGTCTGACGAACACAGTCTCCTGGCCCTCCAGGTTGGGGGTTGGAACATGTGGCGACTTGTTCCGTAGAAATGGTAATGCATTTGCATTTCCCGCCAAACACCGCTACCTTGCGGTTAGGCTTTTGAGCCAAAGGCTTTGGTTGAGGACACTAATCGTCCTTCTGTCTAGGTGTGGGCGCCCTGACAGTATCCCAGCCCTCGTACAACCATACGGCAGTGAAGCATCAGTACCAACACTGATGTTGCTGTCTTTGATGATCATGATGAAACGCGCCCAACCTACCCATATTTCGACAAATTGACAGCCAATAATTTTGTTGTGCAAAATTGGTTCTCTCCGCTAGGTAGCTTATGTTTGGTGCTTTCGTCGGGGAACTCGCTTAAGAATGGGGATTTGTAGACCAATTCATACACAAAGCGACCATGCTGACTGGTGCTTAAGCTCTCCTTCAATGGGAAGTAACTAATTTACGAATACTGGAATTCACTACCATTCTCGACTAGCCCATCTACCACGTGCGCGTAGGCTTACCAAACGATAATCGTATGAAGAAGTGCGTCGTCCCTTTGGATTGCAAGATGCTTGAGACTAGCATATTATATGAGCACTAGTAAAATGTGAATTATGAGATTTTGAGCCTGTCGGTGCATACGATAGCGATCCAAGAACTTTGTTTTACAGCAGGTACGCTCGTGACCATACAACTTCGAGTGTCGTCTATATTGTCTTCGGAACTAACCCCCAGTAAGACAATTACCTAGACCCCAGGATGTAAGACAATGAAAGTACGCATCCCTGATTCAAGTGACTCGGTTAACTGGCGGTGGTGCTCGGGTCCAAAACAAACTGCGAATATTTCTCGTGAGAACATCTGGAAAAATTCTGATGGTCTATTGACGTAAACCCCGGTTCTTTTACCGATTTGTTGAGTATATAGGTCCTAATACTCGTGCATAGTCAAAGCTGTATGAAAAGCACGCGACGTAGAAGCACCGCATTCTAAATATGGTTGATACTCCATATGCTGGGAAACAGCTGAGAATCAGGATGACGCGAACCGAGTGACGTCAATGATCCGGTTAATACTGACCCAAGCATGGTCAGTGTAGTTGAAAGTTTGTGCAAATACACGGGTCTCTTGTGGATCAATGGAACACACGCTGCCGTGAAGTACTGGATTGTTGATTGGCAAATGGTTTATTTCTGAGCAGTTAGGTAAACACTGGTTACTGTTCAACCGGTTCCTAACATTTTTCACTCGGTACTTGGTGGAAATTACTCACTTCTTTCGAGCCGCCTATGAGAGTCGCATTATGATGCCTCGATTGAAATCACCTGATGCACATATTTGGGTTCTCAATATTCATATTCAATTCAAATGTCGTTTTCGTACCGGATGCTTTATTTAACGAAACAGACCTCACCTGCTTTTGTCCACACAGCTCTCTTCTTGATCTTGATTATGAATATCAGTTGCTTTTCGTGCAGAACACCATTGATCATCTTTCTATCCAATCCTAGAAACAGCATACAAAATTCAGGCTATTCTAAGTTAGCTCAGAGTCAGTCAAATCCTTACCCTAATGAAGCTGAATATCATGCATTTCGGCTTATTTTGACAATGGTTTCTCGTTGGTCGCTATCCTTCTGCGATGCCAATCCCACTTTTGTGTAAGCGCTCCCCAATTCATCGGGATGAGAGGCACTCCAAACTTACCCCGCTATCTTGATTGCTCGCAGTGCTTGTTCATAACATATGGCAAAACCTGGTGCGTTCGCGCGTCTCCTACGCTGTGTGTAACTTAATGCACGGGAATGGGCATCTTTATTTCACAGGTGGTCGAGCCGCCTAATAAGTCGCCTCTCTTTTATAGGTTCTCCGCTCATTCCACTCTTTTATTAGCAGTCTAAGAGACCTATTGAACGTTGGCTGTAACGAGAATCCAGTAGGTCGGTTGGCCTCATTTTGCTTGCTGCGGAATGTGTGCTTCGCTGAGGTCTGTTGTCACGAGTAATTTTCGTCCCATCCCTTAATGCAAGTCCTGGCAAGCAGCACACTAGTTAGGGGAAAAATCCACATGGGCCGTTCGCCACTGACATGCATCTGAATGAGTGTTGAAAGTTTCTGCTGGTATTTGGTAAATGTGTCTAAGCGACGAATCTAATTTACTACCTCACTGAACGCTTTTTAAAACCTCGTTATCACAAACAGCCTGTACTTTTGCGTCACAGAGCATGAAGCATTGTAATCTGTATCTATCATATGCTCCTACCGATCATCCCAATCCCGTTTCTTATTTGATTTTGTTCTGTACGGCGCAGCTGAACTTCTCCATTAGGCATATTAAGAAACCTAACACATAGAGTATAGAGCAAAATGTTTCAGTCTGGGTTGCCGAGCTTCGAAACTTTACTCTTGAAGTTATGTGAGTTGCGCTCGGATACCTTGGAGTGCAAAATCCTCAACTCATCAACTGAGGTATATAGCTAGTGCAGGGAATCCTCACTGGCTCGTTCCATCGTCATATCGAGCGCCCGCATCCGGGATGGAGCCATACAACCTTCATGCCTGATAGTACGAGTGACCCGATTCCACCCTACAGTGTATCGGTTTGGTGTCCAGCCCCGATGTCGCTTCGATTGGTAAAGTACGGTTACGTGGCACGAATACAAGACATACAGCAAATTTGTTTGGAAGGAATAGTCAGGACATGTGATGGGTGTGTTGTTTCATGACCTGTTCTTCAATAAACTTTCCAAATAAAGTAGACAAACAGATAGAGGTTCGATTCTTCGTAGGACCGCGCAATACCGTTTAGTGTGTGCTCCAATCATAAACGGTCTTTGTGCCTTTTTGGGGAATAGTTTAAACGGTTCGAAACACCATGGGTGTTGAAATCAAAATCACTGTCCAGCCTAACAGTGATAACCAAGCAAACCTAGAACATGAGGGGACATAATCCACCTGTTTGGGACCGAGCTTGCTTGTGCTTACTCGTTACAAGGTAAGGCAAATAGGCGGATCAAATCATTAAGTTGTTTACTCAGCTGTTGTGTGTGTATGAGAGACTTAACGTAATCACGCTTGTGGCTCAAATAAACCTGTAGTTTTTAATATTCGTCAACGGAGCACGCATCACCAAGCACTTCTCTTTACTAGTTTTGGCTAATATTTAGGAAATTGAAGCACAGCAAAACTTCTCTACGGCCGTTTACCATACTGGGCACTGTAGAACATGAGGTTGACGGAAACTCAGGGACAGAGGAGCACAGATCATTGTGTCTTTTAGAGATCTAGTTGGTGAATGTGAAAAATGGCTATCATTGTTCGCTTTTTGCATAGGCAGAAAAATGCGCGCGATTAAAGATTTTGAATGCTCAGCTTTTCTGTTCTGATATTCCCCTACCTTTCTTTCAAAAGTTCTGGTTATGGCTTCAATTGTGACGTTGAGCTAGAACGCTCGATCCCCGCCTGTTTCAGGTTAGGAGCTGTGTTGTACATGGAAGCCGTGGCCTGGCCATGGTGTAATGTGCGCTAAAATCCCACATAGGTTGAGGTCTGAATCAGTTCGTGATGTTCGCTTCCACAGAACATTGGACACTCATTGAGAAATCACGTCACCTCCAGGAGGCGTACTGATCATTCCCGCTTGTGTTGGCTTGAGTTTGCGGCGTCCAAACCCATTCTCTGTGATATCTAACCCAGTCGTACCAGTCGGGTCACGAATCACCACTCCACTTCCGGTATTTCCCACCTAACTACTTATCCACCTATTTTTGATACACTTAAACACAACACAGACGATGTGTTGTCAGAGACCCCCTGTATTAAAATAAACTAGACGGTATAAGAACACAATGTGACTCGATATGTTGAGGTGCAAGCTTTCACGAATGTGAAAAGTTGGACGATGTGGGAAGGGGTGATGCAGAGGGCGTGAGAACGAGTTATAGTTCCGGAAAAACAAGAGAGCGGAAACATCGTTTCGATCAAGAAGGAAAGTTATTGGTGAGCATGCCTTGAGTAACGCAGAGGACGTATCCGACTGTGGTTTTCTGGTGGCAGGGACGGCATCTCTGAAGAACATCTTCCATTTTGGCGTTGGTGGCGGTAAAGTTAAGATGCTTTGAGACGGGTGAACTTCTCCTGAACGTCCTTGTTAATAGAAAAATGAGAAGCGGCCCCCTTTCGTGACCATGACCACCTCATGACTAACTTGTGCTTCGCCTGAAAGAAAAATTCTGTGCTGCTACGAGGCATTTTCGAAATCAAACTTGGAAGCTATCCTTTTTGAAAGCGGTTTTCACGAGGCATTTTAGATTTGCAGCCCGGAAGGGGTTGCAAGATAATACCAGTCCAGGAACGGAGTATACATTAGGGACATATAGCGGGCTGTGGACAGGTGGGGGTCCAAATATGGAGAGATTATGAAGGGTCAGACGGGCCTGAAAATAATGAACCCGGCTCACTGACTTAACCAGAGTGATTGACCAGGATTCGATGTTTTTTATCCGCAGGTAGGCCGAGATAAATAAGAGGTGCAACCCTGAGGTTCTAGGTTGTGATGTTGAGTCGTCAGTGCAAGCATCTACTGTGCGATCGGAGATACCTGGAGGTAAATTGTTGTGTTGATTGGTTAAGTTTTTACCTGAATCTAAAATGACAACTTTGGTTGTTTCACTTCCTCATCATTTGCTCTCATTTTCCTATGGAATCTACTTTAGAACCCTGTACAATCCAGTCCTCATTGATCTGCAGTAACACCACGCCCAAACGTCCAAATCAGGTCACGTGTGCTCCGTGCCCTCGTGCTTCACCACAGTCTCCCCACCGTCACCTCATTCTACCTGGATGCTCTAACTCGTTAGTCGGTGGAAGTCCTCAAATAGAACTCGTTACCAGTCGCCTGACTCGGTCTGCTGGCCAGACACCTGTGAAAGAGCAGATAACACTCACTCCGTCAGCCGCCGTCCCCTCATCCTGTACATCTGGGGCAGCTTTCGAACGAATGACATACTGGAGTAAGCGACGTGACTCTGCTAGTGCTCAGGATACCCCACCTACCACGGGGATATTCCGATCGGCTCGAAATCCGCCGACCATCGGACAAGTCAGTCCTATCGGTCGAACACAGTCGGTCCGAGCTCGGTCCAACCAAACATCCACCTTACGTCTTCGACCTGACAACAGTTGGATTGTGTGTCCCAATCCCTCATCCAATGCTATTACAGAAGCGGACAATCATCTATGTCCCCCCGGTTCTACTGACAAGGCCACCGAGAAGCCCTTGACATCGAAATCCCAATCGATACCAAATCACAAAGTTTCTCAACTTAGGACCCAGTTGCTACAGCCGCCCACTGCTAGACCATCTTCTGAGCCGACTAGCTTGAGTATTGTTGCATCAGAAACTGTACGACTACCCATAAACCCAAGGTTCGTTGTAGGAGGTTCACTTCCAAAGCCTTGCAAAAGTGAGTTTTTCTTCAAAGATATTTCCATTGTACTTCATAGTTTCCCCTCTGAACGGAATCCGTCAGATGTTGAAACGTTTGCAGTCATTGTCATCCTTCACGTCAACAGCAACACCGGTGTTTCTTATCCTATAAGCGAAGTCATTTTTTACGATAAATCTCCAATGTTTAAGGACTGGCAAACGGTGATATCTGACAAGCAATGGTGAGGTTCCAAGCACCTTTCCAAAACGCACTGATTCGTGATATCCCATAGAGTTTGAAATCACTTTTATATAATCGACCGTGGCTGAGGTATTCGCAATAAGACCGTCATAAAGGGAGTGTTTAGTTTTGCGAGATGACTCGAATTGAAAAGTGTATAGAGCAGCAAAACTGGAAGGGCTACTGTTTTCGAAGCAGTTTGCATCCTGACCGAATGGTATGGCAGTGGAATCCTGACCACTGTCGATACCATTCGCCTTCCTCGGTAAGCTATGTTGATCCTTTAGGTGCTTGACTGAAGACGATGCTAAATATGACTAGTCGATATCAGTCGCATTCTGGTCATCGTCCATTCTCAGGGATAGTTTAGTTGGAATAAGTATGACAAGCAAGCCGATATGGCTGTGGTTTACAACGACGAAGTCCAGTACATTTTCATTTTGTGCTATTTTTAGAATGATCCTTTCTTGGAATCTGTTTCAGTTAGATTATCAATGACCTTTTTGTTTCTGGTAATGTCCTTCATGCAAATTTGTTTTCAAATCACCCGTTATTTGCTATTCATTGATCTGTAATTCACGTTCTATTGTGCAGCCGAGTACCCCCCTCAATCAACTCCGTCTAACTGTGCTCATGCCGACACTTCGTCTTACATAGCCTACCCTCCCGTCCGACGTATCGTCAACTGGCCACCCTCATCTGTCAACCCTGTCGGTGCTGAATCCTGATTCCTTCAGTCCTTGCCATGACAAACCCCGTTCTCGTCTTTCCCGCACTGGTTCTCCCAGACATTCTCCTCGTCCAGTATTTCACATGCCCACTACGACCCAACCTACTGGTCCTATTCATTTCACTCAGATGCTTCGTCCAATCCGTTGTCCAGTTTCAGGCATTTTGGCAGTTGGGCGCGCCATAACTCCATCCCCAGTGGATCCACATTCCTTTCTCATGTTTCTCCCTACCTTTCAAAACGAGCCATGTGGCGCTCCAAACAGCTGCTGACTTTTCATTGTCTATTTTTGTTCGGAAAAGTTTGTAGGGAAAGGACGTGTTCACGTGCTNTTGTTCTATTGCCCGCATTCTGTGGACACCCCAACATCTAATTTCTCGATCTCCGCTTATCCAACTCAGTTCAGAGATCCTATTTTTCTCCCAACACTTTCTGTCACGCACACAATGGCACGATTCTATCTGAATATTCCAAATGTTTTCTCCGAAATGTATCCAGATTTTATTTCTTCTTAGCTTGTCACTATCGAATCACCTACGGAAGTCGCAAGATTACCATCCCAAACAGATTCCTACAAACTTTGTACTACTGATTTCTCGAACCTCATTCAGATAGGCTGGAACGCCGTGCCATTGTGTAGACTTGTCCGGAATATCTCACGAGTCAAGCTGACTTTGTTTTGTTCCAAATAAACGGACCTACGAGTCAATATCCGTAGGATCAGTCTTGTTACCATTCCCGTGAGAATGGCTTCGTCCGGCCATCACAAGTATACTACGGGAATTGGAGCAGAATCGACATCTCCAACAATAAAGGCGCACTTCGGTTTGTCGTCTTCTTAAGCCAAATACATCTGATGGAACAAATGATGTACAGTTTGCAGCTATTTTTTGGTTGCTCGGATTCGTCGATGCTTTGATTCTGAGGGGAATTCGAACGCACTCTTTCAGACTCTACCTCATGAGCATATGTTGATTAGTTTTTGGAGGACAAGTCCTTACACAAAAACATGATTTACTTCGTTTGTGACTGCCTCACTGTCAAGTCTCCATTTATGGCAATAGGGCGCGTTCTGTGCGGGAGAAAACCTCCAAAATTAACTCATATGATATACATGGCGCCAATAAGACCATCGGCTTTCCCTAATCTTCTCGGCTTCAACGCGTGCCGACGACTGCAGCTTAATGTCGGTTGTATACTCAGGTTAATTTTATATGCATGGTGCTAAATAAAAAACGTTCAGCTGTAACACCCCTCCGGTGCCTAGTTGCCATGCCACCCGAAGGAAGCACGAGGGCTGGGATATTGCCAGGTTCCCCAAGCCTAGACGGGAAATCGAGAGGTAGAGGTTGGGTTCGAACCACGAACCTTCCGGTCAGTGAATTCGCGCCCTAACCACTTGAGCCATCTCGCATGCTACTCCCGAAACATGCTACGTGCTGAACTTACGTCAGTCGAAATCGTATGCGAACTTGAGCCCTTCTCAAGATAAGAACTCTTGGGAAAGATTTTCGATCGAATTTTCAACCAACTTCGTTCATACGTCTCCGGTCGCTGTTTCCAGTCAACTCTGGCGACAGGTAGCCTGGTACAATAGCCTAAATGGGTGTTTTAGTCACACCCCAAACGTTTTGCGCTGCTTCAGGTGGTATTCACATTCGCGGAACAGCTTGCCGACCAAACAGACTGATTGGCAAGCATCGATATCGTTCGCTGGATAACTACACAAAACAACACGAATATTCATTTTTTTCGGAATCTTTTTGCTAGGTCCAGCAGCTAAACTAGTGTTCGTGCTCGCACTGAACAGTCAATATCAATGGATCATGAAAATAAAACAGGAGCAGACATTTAAGTGGTAAAAGGACAAGTTTAATCTAATTGGATAGAAGATGGTGATCGCTCTCTATCCAATTGGATGAGGCCTATTCTTCCAATTGATAATTATCTGTTTTGTTCCTCCTGACTTTTAGCCACGGAAATGATATTAACTGCTCATTGTGAATGTCACCATTATTTTAATCCACACCTATTTGCTGACCTAATAAGGAGATTCCGGAAGCATCGATGCTTGTAGCTTCGTGTTCTTGATCATAATACTGTTAACCAGACTGTATAGACCGAATAAGTGCAAATTTGAACTATCATTCTTTAAAGAACAATGCGGCAGTAGCGGTTGTCAAGTATTTTGTCCGTCTGCCACCAAAATTTCACGCAGGTGAACCTAAAAACGAGCAACATAATCTGAAGATCATCTGACATGGTTCTCTCTTTCTTCATCTCGTCTGGGAGGTGTCCAAATAGGGTTTTATCCCAGCATTATTTCCTCCCCTTCATACTGTCATACTACTTGACATCCTGTCCAGTTGATTGAATGCTGTATGTGTATTACAGCCACCCATTCTTGTGTTTCAAACACGAAGGACACACCGGAATTTCCTATATGAACTTGAAAACCTCTTCGTACTCAACATGCACTCTGGTTATATATGGTATGGTAATCTTGAGATTTCTGTGAAACCTAGCTTAATGGGTCGGTCAGGAATTTCTTCCAAAGCAGTTTCAAGCAAGCAAATTTTACCCAATCCATCTGTTCTGCAGTCCGATGTTCGCGTAAACACACAGCACCCATTGATCGCTGGTGACAATGGCTGATATCATTCTCTGTGGGCTCAAATGTGTTGTTTTGGTCATATCGTGAATGTAACACTACCTGAAAGGGTTATTCATTCGTCAGCATAGCGGATGTCGAGTTCAGCTCTAAATCAATTCGTTTTCGACTCGTTGCAGTGGCCTTGCCGCGAATTGCAAACTTGAAATCCGCCACGTAGCTAACTCATAATTTTGGCAAGACTCATTGACAATCCATGATTGGTTTCGCCCTTATTTGGACTCATCAGGTAGGCGCAGTCTCCAGGTTTCTGTCAGCCTGATGCTTTGGTTAAAACCAAATCATACGAAATTTGTCAAATGCACTTATTTTCAAAACAATTTGATTTCGATCAGATACCCAACTGAATCTTCCTTCGGGAAAATATATGGCGATACCTCGAATATTTTACCAACCGGAATATCAAGCAACCTTTATACAACACATTCAGTGAAGAATACAATACACGAAAGTTTCAGATGGGATTCAGCCGCGCGTCTCCCGATAAGCAAATGAATGCACTTCAGTTTACAGTGCCACAGGTTTTTCGAAGACATATAAGTGCTGATAATGGTCTCCCCAAGACCAATGGTGATTGGAACTTGCTGATGCAGGTAATTGCTACCTAGTAGCATTCGCATGATATCCTTTTCCTAATAATGGTTGCCCACGATATATTTCACTCCAGATGTGTTCATTTCGTTCCTTTGCAAAGAGACTTGGAGTTAGGTGGAATTGTATTTCGCTACATGGCATCCTCGTACGTGTCCAACGCAGATCAGAATCTGCAGTTACAACTGTTTCTTGGATGATGGATGAAATAGGTAGCCCAAATATTTCTATCAGTCATCAAAGATTCGTTGTAACATACCTTCTGGCTCTGTTAGGTATCATGTGGCCTGCTTATCCTGTTTGTCGAATTTAACACAACCGGTATTGAGTCCTTCACGTTCAGATTCCTGAACCGAATTATCAGCTCGTAAAATAACAAAGCATTGCTCTTTAACAGCCGTTCCAGTTGTCATCCAAGGCTGTTGTCCAAGACCTGCTGTTTGTGGGTTAAGCAGGATGCCAGCAAGTTAAATCAATGAATTAGGTGTTTCGAATAACATTACCGAATTTCGTCGTCAGTCAGCATCAGTCTTACTGCTGAATGACCAGTTTTTGAGACCATAGTGCTGTTGTGTACAAGTGAAAGTTCCGTATCGAAGTTTATGCAAGACGTCCAATGCGCCATAGTATCCTGTATTGAATGGTGACCAGGCGACGGGGTATAAAGCGCGGCAGAGTCGACTACTGTGTATCGTCACGGGTTGAATTGCGACAGGCAACATTCCTATAGAGATGGAACTAATATTCATCTACCGCACTGCACACTCGTATTCATGTGCGGTTTTTCACCCCATTGTCATCTTGGATACTACGGAGCGGCCCATAGAAGACTTATACACTTGGAACTTTGATACGGTGCCTGCCAAACATCTGCACTCGTGTTTCGAAATGGTATCTGGTGTCTTCTCGACTATCATGTAGGTTTCACTTGCAATAAACTCCTCGCTACATGTTTTTTGTCCCGCAAGTCATTGGTTTCGTCAGCTTGGCGTTGATCGTCATACCAGCCTTTCCAAGCTCGACCTCATCAGATCCATGCTCCTCTTCAAGTTCAGTCCCACAAACTAACCACACGATACGGACATCAGCGAAGGCAGAAGTATCCACGAATGCGTAATGGAACTGGTAGCCTAGTTATGGCGTCAACAGTCCATGGGCTTCAGCCATCGCCGTGATGAACAATGGATGATGATGAAGAATGGATCACCCTAACTCAATCCTATGGGATAGTACACCTCTGAATAAAGGGAAACCGTTACATCGTTAATAAGACTGATAAATCGAACCATGAGTGATCATGCCCCACACAATACGGTGGATCTCGAAATTGTGTCGTCAAATCAAAATCTATAGAGATGCCAAAGAACAACAAAATGAAATTACACGTAGTCGTCAAAGAGTGACGAAAGAAAAGGCATAACAGTTAGCTAGTTTCAAACATACGTCTCGATATCTCAATGCATGTTAAGGGAAACGCAGTTGCAACTTACTGTTGAAGCAACAAGCACTTTATGAAACCACGGAACAATAATGGAAAATGACATACAAATAGGTCTCAGTGCCGCGGTTGAGACCACTTTGTAGAATGTGTTTTACATCCGCCTTCGTGACTCGCTGGTTCAAACTCCAATCCGATGGCACAAACACAAAAACCACCTGACCGGTCATGAGCTACATTGAAAATAACATTTTATGAGCATCAGTAAAATGTGAATTATGAGTTCTGTGAGCCTGACGCTACATACAATAGCGATCCAAGAGCTTTGTTTCACAGCACGTAAACTCGTGATCATACTACCTCGAGTATCGTCTATATTGTCTTCCGAGCTGATCCCCAGTAAGACTATTCTCCTAGACCCCAGGATGTAAGAAACTGAAACTACGCATCTCTGATTCAAGTAACTCGGTTAACTGGCGGTGGTGCTCGGGTCCGAAACAACCTGAGAATATTTCTCATGAGAACATCTGGAAAAATTCTGATGGTCTATTGACGTAAACCCCGGGTCTGTTATTGATTCGCTGAGTATATAGGTCCTAATACTCGTGCATGGTCAAAGCTGTATGAAAAGCACATAACGTAGAAACACCTCATTCTAAATATGGTTGCTACTCCATACGCTGGGAAACAGCTGAGAATCAGGATGACGTGAAACGGAGTGACGTCAATGAACCGGCTAATGCTGACCAAAGCAAGGTCAGTGTAGTTGAAATTTTGTGCAAATTACACGGGTCCTTGTGGATCAATGGAACACA